GTGAAGGGTCCAACATTAAATCCCCACAAAAAAAAAAAAAAAAAAAAAAAAAAGTTAAATAAATGTTGGCAGTGAGCTGCACATTTTTTTTTCTAAATAGGAAAAAGAAGTTGAAGAAAGAGAGCCACACGAGGTGCAGAAGAGCTTTGTGGATAGAGGCTGTATTAGTCACTTTCTTGTCACTAGGACAAAATACCTAATACCTGTAACGTAAAGAGTTTATGTGGTTTCTGTGGCTCATGCTTTTCAGTGATTTCACTCTGAAGGTGGCTGGCTCCAAGACAATAAATGGCACAGCAGAAGGGCATAGTGAAAGAAAGCTGCTCAATCCACTGCAGCCAGGAAGAAGAGAGAAGAGAAGATCCAGGGACAATAACTCACATGCCCAGTGATCTACCTCTTCCCACCAGGCCCCACTCATCAGCCCACTCATCAGCAGATCAATTCACTGATGAACACAGCACCCCCATGATCCAATAACCTTGCAACAGCCTCATCTTTGAACACATGAGAGTTTGGGAGGGCTTCAGCTCTAAAGCATAACAGAGGGCACAGCAAGTGCCAAAGCATAGAGGCAAGTAAATCCCTATGTTCCTCCCACTGCAGAACTGGAACTGAAGTGATAATGAGGACCCTGCAGCTCATGCCCATCAACTGGACCTTTTCTCTCAAGAACAGAGCCCTCTTTGGGGGCACAAAGGTAGGATTTGATTCAGCAATGATGTCAACCTGTAGCCCCTGCTCTGAGAAATATGACTTATGTGGCTGGAACCTATTATGTCTAGGTTGCACACAATCCTCTTGGCAGTTATTAGTATTTAGCAAGCATGAGAAACAAGTCAGCAGAAAGTAGGTCCTCCCAGAAATAAGGATCTAAGGCCACCTGTGCATCACAAATCATAAAGTACCACAGGACTCTGACCTCCAGAATGGAGCAAAAACCAAGAACTCACAGGCAATGCTGTAGTCTGATTTTCTAGTGAGGAGAACTGAAGTTGACAACTGTTCTCCCTCCAAAGGCAAATCTAAATTTCAACAGTGGTAAAAGTATAAGTTCCCCTTAAAGCAAGCCTCCAGGAACCTGGAAACTAAACTCACTTAGCAGTCATCTTTAGAATGTGAACAGTAAATTACCATCATGAATGCATATAGATAGCTAAACAGCTGAGGATTTAGCTTAGTGGTTCTGCAGCCTGCCTCGCAAGCACAAGGACCCAAGTTCAATCCCCGGTACCAAACAAAAAAACAACAACAAGAAACAGATAGCTAAACACAATATCCTACTCTCCTGCATTAAGTGTAAAAATATGTTTCTTGTGTCTGCTCAATGTAAAGGAAGGGTTGAATAGTTACTACAAGAGTGCAAGGGCCCTCTGAAATACTCCACAGCACACTGGCATGGTGAATTGAGCCACAGAAGCCTCACATCCCACCTGGCTCCCTGTAAGTTATCAGTTGCCTTGCTCCTCTAAAACAGTCACTCTATAAGGAGTACTGGATTATTGCAAAGTGGAGAACGTAAGGTAAAAATAAATGTCCTAAAAAGGTTGTTCATGTCTTCAGAAAT